CACTTTAAATAGCTTGTGTGTCCATAGTTCAGGGCGGCTGTGAACCAGAGTTGCCTGTCTGAGTGGTTTCAGTCAGTGCTTTTGGAACCTTTGTAATTTATTTAGTTTGATACAGAGTACCAAGAGTTGGACACTCTTTTGTTTGAGACCTCTTAAATTGCAGAATAACTGCTAGTTTGTTTTTGTTCATTGTATTTTGTAAGCTTATGGGTGCTGACCTCCTTTTGTTCTTTAGTGTATTTTTGAGCCAAGAGCTAAGTAACTGTCTTTGGACAAGACCCTCTTTTGTTTAATTTTGTGTAAATGGGTTATTTGTCAGCACCTGTATAGCCTCTTTTTGTTACATTTCCTCTTGTTGGTTAATTAAACACCTGACTTTAACCAGAACCTGTCCAGTTGTCGTATTCTACCTCATTTCCTATCCCAATTATATGATACCGCTCTCCAAAAACGAGCCGGGTCGTAACACCATTTACAAAAGAGTCTGCAAAGCTGTGGAGATCAGAGGAGCGGTACTATTTTTAAGCTAGCCTTTGTTATAAAGTAGCAGTATTATAAAATAAAGTATTTTGTTATAAAGGGTTCAGGCCTATTTTGAAAGTTGAAGGATGATAATGGGTTTGCTGTCTATTTTTTTTATTTAACTACTGTGTCAAAATTTGGACAAACGTAAAGCAATGATTAGTTTACATTAAACAACAACATGCTGCAGTCATGTCATATCATAAATACAGTATATTATTATATAATATTTCATAAATAAAGAAAACATGCATGCTAGCCACCAGGTATAATAATAACTTGGATATTCTTGGCTTTTTGGACCAGCCACAAATGCTTGCATGAGATGTAATTTTTCAGTTTGTTTACACCTGGTATTAACATGCATCTTAGGTGATCCGATCACAAGTGGTAGGCTTTAAGTAAGTCAGTTTACACCTGGCATTAGAATGCGTCTCCACATGCATCTTGAGTGACAACTTGTGATCGAATCTTACTTCTCCGCTCTATATACAAATAAACCATCTTATAGAGCTGTACCTTACTCAAAATGTTGTCAGTCAGTGTCCATTATTAGTCCTTTTATTCAGTTCAGCGGGCCACTAGCCTGTTGCTTTTACCTGCTCTTTCAGCAGCCCTGCAATGTGTTTTTACATACATTACATGAGAGAATTGAGGTGACCTGACACCAAGGGAGTCATCATCATGCTGTAATATTATCACCTTACTTGGCATTACATCCAGCTAAGATAAAACAGGTTACGTTTCCTATTTCCTTCTGCTGAAATTATGTGATCGTAGAAAGCTTTTACCTTTTAATCTGCAGCTTTCCCTTTGGTGTCGTCTTTACTTTGGGGAGAGTTTGCAAGTCAGTGATGTTACTCAATCACAAGACAGGTATTAAAGTGGGTGGCACAGTAGCTCAGTGGTAAGCACTGTAGACTCATTGCAAGAAGATCCTGGGTTTGGACCATGAATGATTGAACAATTTGAGACAAGAATCTGGGCAATGCCTATTTTGAAAAATCACATATTCTTGCCTATTACCAGTTCAGTTCATTGTGAGTGGTTCAATCCGTCATGACCTCAATTTGATAGGAAGCCAGTGAGGGATCACGTCCTACTTTTAGTTCAGAGCTTCTTCATAAGAATAATAGCTTGAACTTCTCAGTGCTTCAATATATTGAATCATTATTACTAATGCATTAGCACAAACGGTTTCAGCTTGTATTGAGATGATAATATGCTTCACATGTAAAATCCATTTTTAACAATACTCACTATCAAATGATGTGCAAAGCACAAGTGAAATGTTACAATGCACCAGTAGAAATTAGAGACTCAATTTTATAACTTTGATTCTTGAGAATATTTGTGTGACAAGAGTTGATGGATTTAGACATGAGGGTTAGAAATGTAAAACGCAACCGTTCTCACCTTGACAACCCTAATGAGAATCTTCAGCTGATAAACATGGAGCTGGAGGTCCATACGGTCAGTCAGCCATGTTCCTACGAGGTTCATAGTGCTGGTGTACCATTGCTGTAACACACACACAAGCACACAGAATGTAACATCATCTGATAGTCCATGAAATAAATGCACTTAAAGCTTGTGAAGTTCACATCAGATAGCAAAATTTTAACCCTCAAAACAATGAATCCACAATTAGTATCTGTAATCCATAGACTTTGCTCATGGTGTATTTGGCAGAAATAGCATGTGATGTAGTCCTTGGAGTGTATCATCATGACAGAGTTTCCTCGCCGATGACTGAGGGAGAGGCCGGAGGGACAAAACTGACAAACAAGTCCTCGGCAGCAAGACGTCTCTAATCTGAAGATGTTCATGTCATGTCGGTCGCACAACCTCATCAAGCCATTAGAAAATGACACACAGCACAGAGCAGGCACTCCTCTGTAGCAGGGGGGTTGTTCTGCTGCAGTTCAGCAATGCCCACACAGTCTTCCCTGGGACCCAAGCTTGAGAAACAGTTTCTCCTCTTGTCATGTGGGACCCAATCAGATAGTACTGTAGGCTTAGGATCTGTTTAAGTCTGGAGTATGGACCCCGCCTGGGAAGATCCGGCAGCCAAGACTTACTCTTTATTAGGATCCCCATTATTGCCTGACAATGATTTAGCTTTTAATGTGTTTTAAAAAAAATTTATTCATATTATAGAGATAGAGATTGGCCAAAATGTGTTTTTCTCATCGTTGCTAATTGGACTGCAGAGGTCTTGGCCCCGATATTGATTTTCTGGATATTCACTGGCTACACCAGAAGCCTCAAAACATTAGCTGTTGCCCCCATAGTCGAAATCATCATCGGACTGAGATTGGTGAACTAGTGTACTTCAATCATCAAGTCTAAGTAAAACAACTTCACAGCACTGAGTACTTATTATAATTATGACTATTATATTACCTGGTTATGAGCACTTCATCAACATAAAACCACAGAACAACCTTTTTTTCAAATGTTAGACATTATTCTGCACGCAAGCAGCAGTGCAAAAATTGTGCCTAAAATAAAATAGAAGAAAATGGGCAAAAGAATTATTTAAATCAGTAATTATCTGGAAAAAAGTACCTGAGACTACGAATTTGACCAAGCATTTAATACCAACCTTCAGTTCTTCTTTAGATCTTCAACCTGATTCATGCTATGCATAAACATCAGTTACAGAGGAATGCTGATATAGGCGATGAGTAATCAGTTTAAGCAATATCAAGCTAAAGTTGTGTTGTTAACCACTGCTTGCATCTGCCCATGGAAGACTGCTGGCTGTGGTGTTAACTTTAGTGAATTTCATTATTTGTAAAATGAACTTTATAACCTTATATGAGAAAGAAAGAATGTGTCAATTTTGTAATTATAAAGTAAAAATAATATAAAATTATTATACGTAGGCACATTTTATATCAGTGACTATTTCATGTAAGAGTTTATATATGACAAGCACTCTGTGCTGAGTTTCAGTACTTGCGATGCAATAGACGCAATTTGGTCAGTACTCATAAAGTACTGAGGTACCATGACCAAAACCAGTCCTGTTACTACCATTTACACAGGTGTCACAAGCTTCAACCTTGAAATTCCCCCACTGCTCTATTTAAACAAGCCTTCTCCAAACGATGACCTCCGCTAGGCACAGTGAGCTCAGAGCACGGCAGCCATGCAGAAACAGAGCCGAAAGGCTGCAGATGTTTCTCTGTGGGCCCTGGCTGTTCCCAGTCTAATTGATGGATAATGATGAGTGCGGGCTGATACTAATAGAAGCCGACTGACTTTCAACAGTCAGGGTCACAGCGGAATGGATGGGGAGGGGGGGCTGCAGAAGAATAGAAAGAGAAATGAAGACGAAGGGGGTAGCAGTGTGTGTGTGTGTGTTTAGGAGAGATGAGATGAGATGCCAAGGGGTGATTTCTAAGTTGAACAAGATGGATTTTATCCTTGAACGTAAAATACTTTTTGTCTTAATGATTGAACATGAGCAACACGTCCATCAAATCCGACAAAGTAGAAAGTCAAAGGCCTATTCTGCTAACTGCAAAGTATTAGCTGAACAGTTTTATTAATGTCTGTTGAAAATAATGATTGTTATTGTATATGTATAGAAATATTAAATAAGTAAAGGCTGAATACTAAAGCAATGTTCTAGCTAGTC